GTATGTATGTTTGATTTTTTTTTTCTGGAAGCCCAATCAGAAACTAAAAATAGGAGAGTAGCTCAAATTACACTCTTTGATTTTAGCCTTCAATTAATTGACCTAACCAACATTCAGTTAACAATTAACACAAACAAAAGGCACATAAGGCAGTAATATGGAATTAAGACTTGAGAAATGTTGGTTCAGTACTTAACCCGATTTGAAAGGAAAGGAGATTGACAACTGAGTGTGGACACAGAGGCTGCTCTGACATCAGTAATGCAGGGAGCGAGCACTCCTGCCTCCTTCGTTCATACACCACCACAAGTCTCTCTTCACTTTGAAGCTACAACTCACTCTCTACCTGACCTTAGGCATAAACTACAGATTAGAGTCCATCATAACATAAAATTGCCTCACTGGACAAAATTACTGCATCTCAGACTAGCATCTAGCACAAGGATGGGAAGTGTGCAAAATGCTAATGCCTGCCCACTCAGCCCTCTACTCAAGAGGCCATGAATCAATCCTTCCCAATTCCAGCTTCTCCTGTGTTGAAGGTAGTGCTCTAAAACCCCAGCCCATTTGACCATGATTTATGATCCACCATTAATACCAACTGGGGTAGTCAAAAAGTGTTCATGGTGAGCAAAATAAGAGGGGGACAGGAGAGAGAACCCACAAAATAACAACCTCAGGAAACAAAGCCTCCATGAAGCCAAGGAACCAGGCACAAGCTCTAGACTGTGGTTCTCAACCTGTGGGTCTTGACCCTTTTCACAGAGGTCACCTAAGACCATCTGCAAACACAGGCATTTGCACTACGATTCATAACAGAGCAAATTTAAAGTTATGAAGTAGCAATGAAAATAATTTTATGGTTAGGGTCACCGGCACATGAGGAACAGTAATAAAGGGTTGCAGCACTAGGCAGGTTGAGAACCCCTGCTCTACAAACACATTGCGTAGTACCAGACCCTGATGACACACTTGACCAGTGCTAGCTTCTCTGGTTGCTCCTCAACTGTCATTATGAGGTAAGAAAAACCTACCTCAAGAGAACTGAAGGGAGAATAAAAGGAGATCACCTTCACAGAGCCCAGTAAATATGACGTGGTCTCCACTATTATCAGGGTCTTCCTGAACCACGGCTCAATCCCGAAGGTCAAGTGTTAACGAAGGGCTGGAGAGACAGCTCAGCAGCTAAGGGCACTGGCTGCTCTTATAGAGAACCCAGGCAGGGTTCATTGCCCAGCATCCACATGGCAGCTCTCAATCATCTGCAACTCCAACCCCAGGGGACCTGATGCTCTCTTCTGGCCTCCAAAGGCACTACACACTCATGGAACAGACAAAACTGTTGGCTGGGTCCTAATCATGACCCTGAAAATATCACAATGAGGATGTGATGTTATCCACATTCTAGAGTTGATGCCAAAACTTGGTCCAACATAATACAAGACAGAGCAGTAAGAGGTCTAGTACATCCCAAGCAAAGTCTGCATCGTGTGACTGGGTCCCATGCACTAGCTGCAGTACTCCTTGTATGAAATTATGTTGCTGTAAAACTGGCCCCCTGAACATGGGTGACAGTTGGGGGGCTTGTGGCCACTGGCAGCAGAGCCAATATTTACCCCTAGTGTATGAATGGGCTTTTTGGAACCCATTCCCTATGGAGGGATATTCTCTGCCTAGATACATGGGGGAGGGCCTCCACTCGGCCACAAATAATGTAACAGACTTGATGAGCCCCCATGGGAGGCCTCATCCTCCCTGAAGAGTGGATGAGGGGTGGGATGGAGGGATAGTGAGGGGAATGGGAGGACAGGAGGGAGAGGGAACTGGGATTGGTATGTAAAATAAGATTGTCTTTAATGTAAATAAAAATTAATTTTAAAAAATTCCCCAGCCTCCTCCTTCACTTAGCATAATTCTCTGTCCAATCAGAAATACTAGATTTTTGTTTTGTTTTGTTTTTTAATTTTCGAGGCAGGGTTTCTCTGTGTAGCTTTGGAGCCTGTTCTGGTTCTGGAACTAGCTCTGTAGACCAGGCTGGCCTCGAACTCACAGAGATCTGCCTGTCTCTGCCTCTGGAGTGCTGGGATTAAAGGCACGAGCCACCAATGCCCAGCAAAGATACTAGATGAATTCTGATGAACTATCAAAAGCAAAATCCTCACTCTTAACATAATAAAAATAGCAATAATGAATGGAGACATCATTCCAAGCACTTCAATTAAGTGGCTTTAAAGATCCAAAACCACTGAGGGCCACGGTACCTCAAGTCACTTTTCTTTTTCCTTTCAGGGTTTGCAATCTGATCATGCAAAAGAATCCTCAAAGTTCCTACTGGCCCGGGGAACATCTCTCTATCCATATGTTTGCTGTGTAGCAAAATTAACAGGAGTTAGTGGTTACTCCAAATCTCTAATCAGTCCTGACACTACTTAGGAAAACATACTATTTTTCAGTTGCACTAAAAGAAAGCATGTCACAGTGGCTGATTTCATGTACTATCTTTTAAAGTTCTCACACCACAACTCAGAAATATTTCTAATAATTCAAATGTATATCTCCTGGTACTTAAAGACCTAACTAACAGCTGTAAGGAAAATGGAAAAAAAAGGAATTCAACTTGGTCAAAACTGTTTGTCCCGAACACAGTACTTGGTTCCCACTTTCCTAAAGACAGCATTCACAGTAATTGACAATCCATTCCAGCTAAAAGTAAAAGGCATGTCTGGCTTATATAAGAAACAGTGATACAAAGCCGGGCGTTGGTGATGCACATCTTTAGTCCCAGAACTCAGGAGGCATAGGATGGTGGATCTCTTCAGAGTTTGAGGCCACCCTGGTCTACAGAGCTAGTTCCAGGACAGGCTTTAAAGCAATACAGAGACACCCTTTCTCGAAAAAGAAGAAGAAGGAGAAGAAGAAGCAGCAGCAGCAGCAGCGATACGGAGAAGCCAAGTAATAAAACTTCGCTTTCTATTTGCTTCACCCAGCCACTGCATAGTCCTATAATCCTCTTTGGTAGACAAATGAGATGAAGTAACGATACATTTGAAAGCTGAGGTGGCAGAGGATGTAAAATGCCTAGAAAGTACAAGCATGGGCTGAAGTTAACTTGAAACTCTGAGTATCAGACAGAACTACCACACGCTCAACTGTAAAAGTCAAATATTTATACAGGTGCCTCACAAACCACTGTTGTGTGCACACCATCGGCACCCCACATTTACTATCTGTTAAGTAGTTTCAAAGTGCAACAGCTTAAGTAACAGGCTCAGGAGCATGAAGTTTATGACAACTAATATGCCTGGAGAGACTTCGAAGGCGTGACTCTTGTCATAACTTTCAGCAGGCCAGCAATGGCCCGTGGGGCTGTGGGGGGCCTGGGTACAGGTGTCTTTCCTCAGTGGGATGGAAACCTAAACCCAGATCTTCATGGATAATTTAACAAGGATTGTCCATGAATTTATGATGCACGGGACTTTCTTATAACTGCTCTGTAATAACTTTCAAAAGTTCTAGGAAAAGCATTTCCGGTTCAAACTAAGAAGTTGGGGGGGGGGGGTTGTTCAATAAGAAAAGCACCTGAAAAGACTATAACCCATATCACATAAAAAGCCAGTAAGACTTTTCAGAAAATATAAAACTGTAAATGACAGGGACATCCCTGAGTATATGTCAAGTTTACAAGGAGGAACTAATCTAGAATGGTGGCTGGCACCTGTAATTCCTGCATGGAAGAGGCTGAGACATGGGGATTGCTATGAGTTTGGAACAGCCTGTGTTACATAATAAGTTCCAAGCCAGCCAACCTGAGTTACATACCTACCATATGAGGCACTTTAGAAATATAAAACAAAACAAAAAGGAATAGCTCCTAGAATGGACAGATTTCAAATTTACAAGTAAAAGTGTTCTTAACATAGTTTTGGGGGATTTGTTTGTTTGTTTGTTTGTTTGTTTAAGATAAGGTCTCCTATACCCAGATTGGTCTTGAACTCCGGACCCTCCTCCTTTCGCCTCCCAAGTGCTGAGTTTTTACAGAGGTGTGACACCATACTATGCCCTCCTAGTGGTCTTCTAACAACTTTAAGAAATGCTTTCCCTAAGAGTAAAAAGAAAGTTGGGACATGGAACATTTGCGAGCACTCCACGAAACTTCAACTCCTGAACTTCTTAAATGCCTGTGTGCTTCAGATCTCCAGGTAAAAACAAAACGCTAGTATTGAGAGACCTGTCCAAAATTAAGCCTAAGCCCAAGTCTGGGCTACCCGTAGCCAGGGTTCAGTCCCAGTGAGCATTCCACTTCAACAAGAAAATCTGACCAAGTTCAAGTTATCAGGTGAGGAATAATTGCAAGAAGCAAAACTCCAAAACAGTGTTTATAAAGTCCGAGGGGCAAATCTAGAAAAGTCCAGCCAGGAGTGGGATCCCTCTCCACGTTCCATGCTCCCGACCTAGAGCATGGTTGGGGGCACACCCTAGCAAAAGCTTGCAGTCAAAGCTCAGGAGTCAAGGATGGCTGGAGAGATGCCACAGGTGGCCCAGATGGCTAGCTGCTCACTGTGCACTTAGGCCTCCAGGAGGCCCCAAGCCCAGAGTGCCTTACAGAGGTCGAACGGTGCCCTCTGCCTCCATCTGACCAACTTTAAAGAGAACCGGAGGTCTACAGAGGACTCAAGTATCCCTTACCCTGATCCGGCTAGCTGAACTTGGGGTACCAGCCTGAAGCACCAACCCAGCCCTTCCCTTGGGGGCAGGGAGTGTCTACAAGTCCCGGAGGGGCGTGGGGAAGGCAGTGGGCAATGGGGCCCAAAAAGGGGCGCCTGGCGGGCAGATAGATACAACCGCGCCTAGGCCGGCGGTCCCGCGCCCAACCCAGAGACCTCAGGGGTGCAGAGCTGGCGACGCCCCACGCCCCCCGCGCCCGCCAGGTCTCCCAGACAACAGCCGCCGCCACACTTCCGAGGCGGGTCCCCACGCCCGGCCGGGGCCCCGCTTCCCACCTGTCCCGGGGGTCGATCCAGCTGGTCCTCCTGGTGTTGTGATCGATATAGAAGACCTTGCCGTCGTAGTCCCTGGCCTCCTCCCAGCCCCGGGGTAGCGGCAGCTGCCCGCTCCCGGCCCTCCTAGGCATGGTCGGCGGCCTCGCCGGCGAGCGGCGCCTCCATAGGGACCGGGCACGGGGCGCAGCGGGAACGCGGGCACCGGCGAGGGGCGTGCGGGGCGCAGGACGAGCGGCGGGCCACGCGCGGGGAAGCCTCGGGAATCCCTGCTCTCGGTCCTGCCGGGGATCAGTCCACCATATCTGCGTCGGAACAGGCGAGCGAGCCCTCCTCCTCCTTGCCGCCGCTGCCTCCGCCTCTTCCTCCTCCTCCCCGTCCCCCTGTGGCCGCCGAGGGTCGCGGCGCCCAGGCTGCCCCGGCCGACGCCGTCTGGGCTCGGATCCGGGAAGCTCCGCAGAGCAACGGCCCAGCGGCGACTGGCCTCCTCATTTGCGTGCGATTAGCATGCGCCCCGCCCCCGGCCCCGCCCCGCGCTCGCCTCATCTGCATGCACATTCCTCGCCGCCACATTCCTGAGCTTAACCCTGCAGCTGCCGGGGTGGCCGCGGCGGGACGCCGGGCTGCACTCCCGGGGCGGGGGTAGTTTGGGGGGGGAAGGGAGCGGCCAGACCAGGTGGGAGGCGGGAGGGCGAAGGAATGCACAGCTCGCTCCCACCTCTCCACCCCGAGTTATCTCCTTTCGAGCAGACCCTTTGGGGATTTAAGAGTTCCAGGGCGAGAAAGATGGCAAATGAAAAGTCTGCAAGCTTCTCAACTTCTTTCCGTCTTCTAGGGAAACCACAAGACTTTCGAGAGGAAAGGGTGGGGAATGCTGTCCTGGGAAGAAGTCCTAACAAACAGCGAGGGCACAGAAACTCCCCCACGCCGCGCCCCGTGCCTTGGCGGTTCCCGGCGGTGGGGAAGTGTGCAAAAGCGCTGGGAGTGTGTCCGGGGCGTGTCCGGGACCGCGGCGCCCCCAAGCCCTCTGCTGGGAGTCTGGCCCTCGGTGACCTCACCAAGGTCCTCGCGGGCCTCGGGGAGCAAAGTGAAGGCGGGTTCCCGATCTGTGAGCGCCGTGACACGTCCGCTCTAATGGCCTACGGGTGAACACCGGCCTGATCCTAAGAAGAGACCGGGCCACCCTGCCGCTGTCGCCAACACTCGCCACCCGCGGGCCCTGGGGATCCGAACCACCCGCGCCTCCCTGCCGCGTCGGGGCGCTGCACCGGCAGGGCCAGGGCCCTCTGCATCTGGCGATCCCGGCTGGCTTTAAGTCCAAGGGACATGGCTGCGTTCAATATTCTAGTTCTTTCCAGCTGTCTATCCCGGGAAGTTCCCCACCCCAATCCCAATCAACCGGGCCCAGAAGGCGTTGATGATCACACCGAAGGGACCCTAAAGCAGGGTGAAAGGTTCATCTGATATGAGATGTAGATCTTCTCTCACAAGCATTTCTTTATTCAGCTATTAAGTGCTAGTCCGCCCTTGGTAGGAGCTGGGTGTCAGACCCCTCAGAAGACAAAGCCCTGGCAAAGTCAAGACACAGAGCTTGCAATGTCCCTTGTCCTTCTGTCTGGGAGCCTTTCTGCCCCTGAACCTTTACAGTTTTCTGTGTACCACCACCCTTCACTGGTATGCTCCGGGTCTCTAAGCACATTCTTTAGAACCGGCAGCAGCTTAGGAAGAAAGGCCCCAGAGCCCAGTCATTGTCTCTTGGGACCAATTCTCTTAACCCTACCCTGCTAATGTAACAACAATGTAATAACCTGCTAATGTAACAACTTCTCAGTTTGTCAGAACCTGGCATGGACCAGGACATGTTCTATGTCTGGGCATTTGTTATAGAAATTGAGCATTGAACTAGACAGTAAGGGCAGAGGCTTGAAACAAGCTTCCAGATAAGGACTCACAGCCCTGGAAGGACTCTTAGTAATGAAGCCCTTTCTGCACTAGCAGAAATTTGAAAGCCATCCCTGCCCCCCCAACACACACACACACACACACACACACACACACACACACACACACACACACCAAAGTGAAAAGTCAGGAACACTGGGAGGACAATCAGAGAAAAACAGAGGTTCCCAAGAGAAAGGCTCACTTTATCTAAGTCTTCCGCATAATGCCAAGGCCTATGGAAGCTGGGCTTTATGTTTTGTTGAGGGAAGTTTCCACTCCCTAACCTGTACTCTTCCTCAACCCACTAATCTGGAGATGATAGGTCAAGGCCCAGTCCTCAGTGGAATGACACATCCTGGTGGGCATAGGGAGCTTGTCTAAAATTAACCTCTTCGACTATTGATGTATAATGATCTATGCTGAGTGGCCCATTCACATGGCCAAAATGTAATCAGCAACTAAAACCAGCCATCCTACTTTGAGTCTTGCTTATTTAGTGAGTTTCTCCCTTCCCCTAAAGAAATTGAAACTATGCATTGTGCTAGCTTGTCAGATACCTTATAACTCAAAAGTAAAGCAGTATGCTTTGGTGTTACAATTGTTTGGCTTGCTTCACAGTGGGGGGGGTGGGGGGGGATACTGCACAGAAGTCCTCAGTATAGCTAAGTTTGGTAAGTTTTCGGCTAAATATTACTCAATTTCTTTTTCTTTTTGTTTGTTTGTTTGTTTTTGTTTTTCAAGACAGGGTTTCTCTGTGTCTTTGGAGCCTGTTCTGGAACTAGTCTTGTAGACCAGGCTGGTCTCAAACTCACAGACATCCGCCTGCCTCTGCCTCTCTAGTGCTGGGACTGAAGGTGTGCTCCACCATCGCCCAGCTATATTACTCAATTTCTATGAAGACAATGAGGAATACAAACTAGCTCATAGTATTTGGTGGCATTTATTGTCCCGTTAATCACCAAGCCTCAAAAAAAAAAAAAAAAAAAAAAAAAAGGAACAAGGCCCCAGCTATATTAAGAATAGTCAAGAGGCAAAAAGACATAAGGAAACTTCAGTAGCATTACAATGCAGTTTGGGGTGGGGACAGAAAATGTAAAGATCCACATAGTCTCCTAAACAATAGCTCCATGTCAAGGGTACAGCACAGTTCTTAACGGAGGGAGGTTATTGCAAGACTGGAGCTGTCCAAGAGTTACACAGAAGGTAAATGATCATGAGAAGGGTTAGGGCACAGATGCAATACCAAAATGGACAGGCACAGCGGGGAGCTGGGAGCAATGAACAGCCAAGTTCAAAAATGCATCTGGCATGAAGGAACCCAAGACTGGCTGGAGCCATCCAGTTAAGGAGGTCACAGTGATAGTGTGTACATTTGAGATAGACAAGAGCTAGGATTAGAAATAAGGTATGGGGGATGAAAAGGAATGACCTGGCAAGAATTTGCAACTGATTAGATTAAGAAGGGAGAGGTGAATAGACTAGAAGTTGGAATCTGGGATGCGTCCAAGTTTTCAGACAGTTGAAAGAAATTCAGAGCTGGAGATGAGGAAGTCCACAGGGGAATCTGATATAGGATCTGAGTTTAGAAATGAGAGGCGCTTGGCAAAGAGGCACAGCTCATTGAAAAGGTCAGGCTGTCGGAATACCTGCTGGAAGTTTGTAGATTGCTGAAGCTACAGGATCGAGACTTGAGGAGGAAGCAAATGCAAGTGGAACGGAATTAAGTAGCTCATCTATAATCCTATTCTTGGCCTGTACCTCTTCAGTAACGTGATACAATTTTGTTTATTTCTTTATGGCCTCCACTTCCAGTGAGGTGTGTAAGAATTAGTCGCTAGCGTGGAAACCGACTTCGAATGAACCATTGTCCACAGCTTTTACTGTTCGGGTAGTGAATTGACTCTGTGTAAGGCAAGGCGAACTGGTTTCAATATTTTAAAGTCTCATGTTTTCTCAAGGATATCAAGGATTAGATAAACGGAAATTCTAAATAAAGAGGACACCCTCACCCTCCCACCCTCCTGTTTTTCCTGAATCAAACTTAGGAGTTTTTTTTTTTGCACTTGTGCAACCAAACTAGTTAAATGGTGTGTTTAGTTATTATGAATAGGTAACCTAACCCACATTTCCTAAGCTTTATCATCTAAAAAGGTCTTTCAGAAGCTAAGTATGCTAATCTTTAAAAATTCCCAGTGCTGGGCCAAACTGGAATCTCTCATTACCATAACCACTTCTCTTCCAGTTAATTATTGTACCAACACCTTAGGCCAAAACAATCATTCTGACTCAATAACATTCAACACCAGCCAGGTATGGGTTTACATTAATCTTTTGTAGGAGACCCCAATGAGCAGACTCTGTTATTACCAAGAAGATAGTGAACAATGCCAAGAATCCCCCACCCCGTCTCGGCCCGTGCTGTCATCCCCCCCCCAACCTCTCAGGTGAAGAATGTAGGTCAGTTGTAAAGTACTTGCCTAGCACCCAGAGGACCCTAGGTGATCCCTCACCTCCATCAAAAGCCAGAGTCAACACATCTTACAAAGAAAAGATGCTCAGATGTCATGAGCTTGTGTAAGGCGATCAAAGGATCTATTTTCATACTCTGAAATAGATATAATACAGAGTTCTATTTTAATTTGTAGCTTTTCCTCCACCCCGATTTTATTTTCTATGGAAAAAGTAGCAACTTCTCTTCCTTTTCCTCCTCCTCCTTCTTCTGTGATTGCGGAAACTAGGGAGATGGCTTGATGGGTAAAAAGCACTTGGCATGCATTGAGAAGGTCCTGAGTTTGAATGCCCAGATCCCACACAAAGCCAGGCACTGTAGCCACATGTCTGCACTCACACACTCACAGTATTCCTAGCAGGTGAGAGGCAGAGGCAGGAGACTGCTCTGGAGCTCAGGTGTCAGCCAGCCTGACCTATGCAGCAATGGGCAAACAGACAGACACTACCTCATGTCTTGTCTTTCTCCATGTAGCCCTTGATGTCCCAGAACTCTTTTATGTAGACCAGATTGACCTTGAACTCACAGAGATCCTTTCTCTGCCTCCCAAGTGCTGGGATTAAAGATATGAGCTACCATACCTAGCTAGAGACTAGATGGAAGGCAGGAATCCATACCAGAGGTTTTCCTTTGGCCTCCCTGTAGACAGACAGACACACACACACACACACACACACACACACACACACACACACACACACTCACACACACTGTGTGTGTCCTCATCTCAGTCTCTTTAAACTATCTCTCTTCTTTTTCCTTGTCCCTCTGATTTCTCATTAACATTTTTATCTTGGAGCCAGTGAGATAGCTCAGCATGCAGAACTTGCTATCCAGCCTTATGACCTGAGCTAGATTCCTAGGAACTACATGGTGAAAGGAGAGAACAGACTCCAGTGCACTAATAACAAATATTCTTACTGTAAGTTTGTCTTTCTGTCAATGAAATACAAGGTCATAGTGACAATAGAATTACAG